GTAGACGGGATGAAAATCAGCCGATTTTTTATACCATTGCTGGTAACGTCGGCCACTTGAACAACCGATTTTTCGTTTTTTAAAAGAAAAATCGGCCGTTTTACTCCCCGTCTATGGCCTGCATTAATCTCATCATACAAGTAATTGGCTGCAACCGGTCCTGCACAGAAATCTGGTTCCAGGATGGAGCATCCTACCTAAGCAACCAGGAGTTTTAAAAGTTTTTTTGCAGCTGAGAATGCTCAACCCACTTCAGCTGAGCTCATTAACCCCTCAGTGAGCCAAAGAGACAGCACACAAAGGAAAAAAAATCTATGTATTCTGGAAACAACCCATAGCTTTTAATGGCTGTCACACTAAATATAAACTACCGTATTTCGCGCTCCATAAGACGCACCTAGATTTTAGAGGAAAACAAGAAAAAAAAAATATTCTGAACCAATGGACTGCATAGTACAGGAAATGACCTGGAGCCCATCCTGGAACCAATTGGCTGTGTAAGACAGACTGGGGAGCAACCAAACCAACCTATGGAACGAATGAGGAGGGAGATAATCAGGAGGAGAAAAGCAGGTGATTTCTGGCAGATCAAGGAGGGATTAATCCCTGCAGAGATATCCAGCTAATAAGGGGCTTAAGAGGTATCCATAGGCAAGATCATATATCCATGATATGCTACAGCTGTTCCAGCAGGTTCCAGGTTATGTGAACCACAAGCGTGTGTAGCCTATTTTTTAGGCATAGAAGGAGGTGATAGGTTGCACAGTTTGAGTTATGTGTTAAATGTTGGCGATCCATAGAAACACTTTATTGATTATATATAGAGATGAGCGAATCGAAGTAGGCGAAGTGGAATTCGTTTCGAATATTAGGAAAATTTCGATTCGCGTCGAATCCGAAAATAAGCAGACTTCGGATGCGCGAATCGAAATTTTTCCTAAAATGGCGGCGACATGTGCGGCAACGGAGCGGGGATGTCTGGGAAGGCACGCAGACAAGGCGCGCTGACCCATAATGCATTCATTCATGACATGTGATCGCATTAGCCAATCAGCAGCCAGCCAGCCAGCACAGTGTAATGGTCGAGCTATAAATGGCGGCCATTTTAGAATTCTCCATTTGCCTCCAGTCATTCAACAGAGGCAGACCTGGCTGTATTCAGGGAGAGAGTTAGGGACAGAGAAACGTTACTTAGGGACACAGAAACGTTAGTTAGGGACACGAGAAGAATCGTTACTTAGGGCCACAGAAACGTTACTTAGGGCCACAGAAACGTTAGTTAGGGCCACAGAAACGTTACTTACGGACACAGAATTGTTACTCAGGGACAGACAGAATTGTTACTGAGGGATACAGAATTGTTACTGAGGGCCACAGAATCGTTACTGAGGGGCCACAGAATCGTTACTTAGGGCCACAGAATTGTTACTTAGGGACAGACACAGAATTGTTACTGAGGGACACAGATTTGTTACTGAGGGACACAGATTTGTTACTGAGGGCCACAGAATCGTTTACTTAGGGCCACAGAAACGTTACTTAGGGCCACAGAAACATTACTTAGGGCCACAGAATTGTTACTTAGGGACAGACACAGAATTGTTACTGAGGGACACAGATTTGTTACTGAGGGCCACAGAATTGTTACTTAGGGCCACAGAATTGTTACTTAGGGACAGACACAGAATTGTTACTGAGGGACACAGGATTTGTTACTGAGGGCCACAGAATCGTTACATAGGGCCACAGAAACGTTACTTAGGGCCACAGAATTGTTACTTAGGGACAGACAGAATTGTTATTGAGGGACACAGAGAATTGTTACTGAGGGCCACAGAACCGTTACTTAGGGCCACAGAAACGTTACTTAGGGCCACAGAAACGTTACTCAGGGACAGACACACAGAATTGTTACTGAGGGATACAGAATTGTTACTGAGGGCCACAGAATCGTTACTTAGGGCCACAAAATCGTTACTTAGGGCCACAGAAAACGTTACTTAGGGCCACAGAATTGTTACTTAGGGACAGACACAGAATTGTTATTGAGGGACACAGAATTGTTACTGAGGGCCACAGAACCGTTACTTAGGGCCACAGAAACGTTACTTAGGGCCACAGAATTGTTACTTAGGGACAGACACAGAATTGTTACTGAGGGACACAGATTTGTTACTGAGGGGCCAGAGAAACGTTACTTAGGGCCACAGAAATGTTACTTAGAGCCACAGAATTGTTACTTAGGGACAGACACAGAATTGTTACTGAGGGCCACAGAGAACCGTTACTTATGGCCACAGAAACGTTACTTAGGGCCACAGAAACGTTACTTAGGGCCACAGAAACGTTACTTAGGGCCACAGAATCGTTACTTAGGGCCACAGAAACGTTACTTTAGGGCCACAGAAACGTTACTTAGGGCCACAGAATTGTTACTTAGGGAAAGACACAGAATTGTTATTGAGGGACACAGAATTGTTACTGAGGGGCCACAGAACCGTACTTAGGGCCACAGAAACGTTACTTAGGGCCACAGAATTGTTACTTAGGGACAGACACAGAATTGTTACTGAGGGACAGACACAGAATTGTTACTTAGGGCCACAGAAACGTTACTTAGGGCCACAGAATCGTTACTTAGGGCCACAGAAACGTTACTTAGGGCCACAGAAACGTTACTTAGGGCCACAGAATTGTTACTTAGGGACAGACACAGAATTGTTTACTGAGGGCCACAAAACCGTTACTTAGGGCCACAGAAACGTTACTTAGGGCCACAGAAACGTTACTTAGGGCTACAGAAACGTTACTTAGGGCCACAGAATCGTTACTTAGGGCCACAGAAACGTTACTTAGGGACACAGAAACGTTACTTAGGGCCACAGAAACTTTACTTAGGGCCACAGAAATTGTTACTTAGGGACAGACACAGAATTGTTACTGAGGGGACACAGAATTGTTAAGGAGGGCCACAGAATCGTTATTTAGGGCCACAGAAACGTTACTTAGGGCCACAGAATTGTTACTCAGGTGACAGACACAGAATTGTTACTGAGGGATACAGAATTGTTACTGAGGGACACAGAACCGTTACTTAGGGCCACAGAAACGTTACTTAGGGCCACAGAAACGTTAAACTTAGGCCACAGAATCGTTACTTAGGGCCACAGAATCGTTACTTAGGGCCACAGAAACGTTACTTAGGGCCACAGAAAACGTTACTTAGGGACACAGAATTGTTTACTCAGGGACAGACATAAGAATTCTTACTCAGGGACAGACACAGAATTGTTACTCAGGGGAACAGAATTGTTACTGAGGGACACAGAATTGTTACTGTGTGAGGGACACAGAATTGTTACTGAGGGACACAGAATTGTTACTCAGGGACAGACACAGAATTGTTACTCAGGGACAGACACAGAATTGTTACTGAGGGACACAGAATTGTTACTGAGGGCCACAGAACTGTTACTTAGGGCCACAGAAACGTTACTCAGGGCACAGAAATTGTTATCAGGGACAGACACAGAAACGTGTTACTTAGAGGACACAGAATTGTTACTGAGGGACACAGAATTGTTACTGAGGACACAGAATTGTTACTGAGGGACACAGAATTGTTACTGAGGGACACAGAATTGTTACTGAGGGACACAGAATTGTTACTGAGGGCCACAGAACTGTTACTTAGGGCCACAGAAACGTTACTCTACAGGGACACAGAATTGTTAATCAGGGACAGACACAGAATTGTTACTCAGGGACACAGAATTGTTACTGAGGGACACAGAATTGTTACTCAGGGACACAGAATTGTTACTCAGGGACAGACAGAATTGTTACTGAGGGACACAGAATTTGTTACTGAGGGGGACACAGAATTGTTACTGAGGGCCACAGAACTGTTACTTAGGGCCACAGAAACGTTACTCAGGGACACAGAATTGTTACTCAGGGACAGACACAGAATTGTTACTCAGGGACACAGAATCGTTTAATTAAAGAGTATGTCAGACAACATGCAGAGGAGTGGCAGAGGAGGCAATGTTTTAGGAGCGAGCAGACGTGGCAGCAGAGGAAGGGGACGAACACGGCAGCACTAATTCGCAGCAGGGGCCAGTGGCTCCAGTGACATCCAGTACAGTGAGGAAGAGCTAACAGAGGGCTGGGTCAGGGAACGGTTGGGGAGACATCCGCCTCTTCCAGCAGCCAGGCAAAGAAGTAGTGGCGAGGAGAGTTGGCTCGGTAGCCGGTCAGAGACAGGTCTGTCTCCTGACCCACACGCAGCCGAGGGGGCTAGTAGTGAGGCGGAGACCCTAATTAGATGATGACTGAGGCTGATCGCACTTGGCAGCTCGTCGTCATCAGGCTATTGCTTTCCGCATTCTCATCAGGAGAAGAGGGTGGCAGCTTGGCAGGGAGCAAAACAGTCGTGGGGTTGTCTCCATCGCCACACTCTGCCATGTGCCACTTTCAGGTCTCCTCACACACTGCAGGTGTGTTTCATTTTTTGTCATAGGGTGCTGGCAGAATTACGGGCCTCCCATAGCTGCTGCCAGGCCCCTTATCTGCCATGGGCCCCTGTACCGCCTCCACATGCTGCTGCCAGGGTCCACAGTGTCTCATGTCCATGTGCCACTTTCAGGTTCCTCCAGCGGACATGCTGGTGTGTTACATTTTTTGACATAGGGTGCTGGCAGAGTACGGGACCTCCCATAGCTGCTGCCAGGCCCTAATCTGCCATGGGCCCCTCATAACGCCTCCTCATTAGCTGCTGCTGCAAGTCCAGAGTTACTCATGGGACCTGTACGGCCTCCCAAATTGTCATGCTGGTCTCCATCGGCCACACTCTGCCATGTGCCACTTTCAGGAGGCTCCTCACACACTGCTGGTGTGTTGAAATTTTTTTGACATAGGGTGCTGGCAGATTACGGGCCTCCCATCAGCTGCTGCCAGGGCCCCCTAATCTGCCATATTACAGGCCCTATACCGCCTCCTCATGCTGCTGCCAAGTCCAGGAGTCTCTCATGAGGTCCCAATGTACGGACCTCCCATTGCTGCTGTTCAGCCATCGCCATACTCTGCCATGTGCCACTTTCAGGTCTCCTCACACAGCAGCTGGTGTGTTCAATTTTTTTCATGACAAAGGGTGCTGGCCGATTACGGGTCCTCAAGTAGCTGCTGCCAGGCCCCAATCTGCCATGTGGGGGGGTGGGCCCTATACTTCCGCCTCCTCATGCTGCTGCCAGGTCCAGAGAGTGTCTCATGGGTCCCTGTACGGCCTTCCAGATTGCTGCTGTCTCCATCGCCACACTCTGCCATGTGCCACTTTCAGGTCTCCTCACACACTGCTGGTGTGTTGAGGGGAAAGAAAAAAATTTAATTTATTTTTTTTTTTTGACATAGGGTGCTGGCAGATTACGGGCCTCACCATAGCTGCAGCCAGGCCCCTAATCTGCCCATGGGCCCCTGTACCACGCAGCCTCCTCATCGCTGCTGCAGGTCCACTGTGTCTCATGCCATGTGCCACTTTCAGGTCTCCTCACACTGCTGGTGTGTTCCATTTTTTGTCATAGGGTGCTGGCAGATTACGGGCCTCCCATAGCTGCTGCCAGGCCCCTAATCTGCCATGGGCCCCTGTACCGCCTCCTCATGCTGCTGCCAGGAGTCCACAGTGTCTCCTCATGCCTATGTGCCGCCACTACTTTTCCACTTTCAGGTCTCCATCACACTGCTGGTGTGTTTCCATTTTTTTGTCATAGGGTGCTGGGCAGATTACGGGCCTCCCATAGCTGCTGCCAGGCCCCTAATCTGCATGGGCCCCCTATACCGCCTCCTCATGCTGCTGCCAGGTCCAGAGTCTCTCATGGGTCCCTGTACGGCCTCCATTGCTGCTGTCTCCATCGCCACACTCTGCCATGTGCCACTTTCAGGTTCTCCTCACACACTGCTGGTGTGTTCCATATTTTTTTGTCATAGGGTGCTGGCAGATTACGGGCCTCCCATAGCTGCTGCCAGGCCCCCTAATCTGCCATGGGCCCCCCTATACCGCCTCCTCATGCATGCTGCGCCAGGGAGTCTCTCATGGGGCTCCCTGTACGGCCTCCCATTGCTGCTGTCTCATGCCATCGCCACTTTCAGGTCTCCTCACACTGATGGAGTTTTGGTGGTGGTGTGTTCCATTTTTTTGTCCATGTGCTGGCAGATTACGGGGCCTCCTATAAGCTGCTCCTGCCCAGGCCTGCCTAATTTTTTGCCATGGGCCCCTAGTATACCCTCCTCATGCTGCTTGCCAGGTCCAAGTCTCTCATGGGTCCCTGTACGGCCTCCCAATTGCTGCTGTCTCCATCGGCCACACTCTGCCATGCCCATGTGCCACTTTCAGGTCTCCTCACACTGCTGGTGTGTTCCATTTTTTGTCATAGGGTGCTGGCAGATTACGGGCCTCCCATAGCTGCTGCCAGGCCCCGCTAATCTGCCATGGGCCCCTGTACGCCTCTCCTCATGCTGCTGCCAGGTCCACAGTGTCTCTCATGCCATGTGCCACTTTCAGGTCTCCTCACACTGCTGGTGTGTTCCATTTTTTGTCATAGGGTGCTGGCAGATTACGGGCCTCCTATAGCTGTTGCTGCCAGGCCCCTAATCTGCCATGGGCCCCTAATACCGCCTCCTCATGCTGCTGCAGGTCCAGAGTCTCTCTCATGGGTCCCTGTACGGCCCTCCATTGCTGCTGTTCTCCATCGCCACACTCTGCCATGTGCTACTTTCAGGTCTCCTCATCCACACTGCTGGTGTGTGGTCTTCCATTTTTTTGTTCATAGGGTGCTGGCAGATTACGGGCCTCCCATAGCTGCTGCCAGGCTCCCTAAATCTGCCATGGGCCCCTAGTACCGCCTCCTCATGCTGCTGCCCAGGTCCACAGAGTCTCTGCCATGGGGTCCCTGCTACCGGTCTCTCCACTGCTGCCATTTTTTTGTCATCGGGCTGCATCGCACACTTGCCATGTGCCACTGCTTGCCAGTCTCCTCGACACTCTGCCATGTGTTCCCTTTGATACCCGCAATTTTTTTGACCTCATGCTGCTGCCCAGGTCCAGAGTCTCTCATGGGTCCGCCCTGTACGGCCTCCCATTGCTGCTGTCTCCAGGCCACAATCTGCCATGGCCACTTTCATGGGTCTCCTCACACTGCTGGTGTGTTCCATTTTTTGTCATAGGGTGCCTGCAGATTACGGGCCCCCATAGCTGCTGCCAGGCCCCTAATCTGCCCATGGGCCCATGTTCACCGCCTCCTCATGCTGCTGCTTCCAGCCAGGTCCCTGTGTCCACAGTGTCTCCATCGCCATGTGCCACTTTCAGGTCTCCTCACACTGCTGGTGTGTTCCATTTTTTGGTCATAGGGTGCTGGCAGATTACGGGCCTCCTATAGCTGCTGCCAGGCCCCTAATCTGCCTGTGGGCCCCTATACCGCCTCCTCATGCTGCTGCCAGGTCCAGAGTGTCTCTCATGGGTCCCTGTACGGCCTCCCATTGCTGCTGTCTCCATCGCCCACACTCTGCCATGTGCCCACTTTCAGGTCCTCCTCACACTGCTGGTGTGTTCCATTTTTTGTCATAGGGTGCTGGCAGATTACGGGCCTCTCATAGCTGTGCCAGGCCCCTAATCTGCCATGGGCCCCTGTACCGCCTCCTCATGCTGCTTGCCAGGTCCACAGTGTCTCATGCCATGTGCCACTTTCAGTCTTCCTCACACACTGCTGGTGTGTTCCCATTTTTTGTGTCATAGGGTTGCTGGCAGATTACGGGCCGTCCTCCCATTGCTGCTGATGCCAGGCCCTAATCTGCCATGGGCCCCTATACCCGCATCCTCATGCTGCTTGCCAGGTCCAGAGTCTCTCATGGGTCCCTGTACGGCCTCCCATTGCTGCTGTCTCCATCGCCACACTCATGCCATGTGCACCACTTTCAGGTCTCCTCACACACTGCTGGTGTGTTCCATTTTTTGTCATAGGGTGCTGGCAGATTACGGGCCTCCCATAGCTGCTGCCAGGCCCCATAATCTGCCATGGGTCCCCCTAGTACCGCCTCCTCATGCTGCTGCCAGGTCCACAGAGTCCTCATGCCATGTGTGCCCACTTTTCAGGTCTCCTCACACTGCTGGTGTGTTCCATTTTTTGTCATAGGGTGTTGCTGGCAGATTACAGGCCTCCCCATAGCTGCTGCCAGGCCCCGATAATCTGCCATGGGCCCCAGGGGTGTACCGCCTCCTCAGGCTGCTTGCCAGGTCCACCACAGTGTATCATGCCATGTGCCACTTTACGGGTCTCCTCACACTGCTGGTGTGTTTGCCATTTTTTGTCCATAGGGTCTCTGCAGATTACGGGCCTCCTATAGCTGCTGCCGGCCCCTAATCTGCCCATGGGCCCCTCTGTACCGCCTCCTCATGCTGCTGCCCATGGTTCCCAAGTCTCCTCATGGGTCCAGGTCGGCCTCAGATTGCTCTGTCCCATGCCACACTCTGCCATGTGCCACTTTCAGGTCTCACTCACACTGCTGGTGTGTTCCATTTTTTGTCATAGGGTGCTGGCAGATTACGGGCCTCCCATAGCTGCTGCCAGGCCCCTAATCTGCCATGGGCCCCTGTACCGTCCAGCCATATCCTCATGCGCCGTAAGCCAGGTCATGGCTGCTGGGTCCTGTACGGCCTCCATTGTGTCTCTCGCATGCCACACTGTGTGCCACTTTCAGGTCTCCTCACACTGCTGGTGTGTTCCATTTTTTTGGTCATAGGGTGCTGGCAGATTACGGGCCTCCCTATAGCTGCTGCCAGGCCCCTAATCTGCCATGGGCCCCTATACCGCCTCCTACATGCTGCTGCCAGGTCCAGAGTCTCTCATGGGTCCCTGTACGGCCTCCCATTGCTGCTGTCTCCATCGCACCACACTCTGCCATGTGCCACTTTCTGGTCTCCTCACACTGCTGGTGTGTTCCCATTTTTTTGTCATAGGGTGCTGGCAGATTACGGGCCTCCCATAGTACTGCTGCCAGGCCCCTAATCTGCACATGGGCCCTGTACCACCTCCTCATGCTGCTGCCAGGTCCACAGTGTCTCTGCCATGGTGCCACTTTCAGGTCTCCTCACACTTGCTGGTGTGTTTCCATTTTTTGTCATAGGGTGCTGGCAGATTTCGGGCCTCCTAGTAACGCTGCTGCCCCACTAATCTGCCATGGGCCCCTAGATACCGCCTCCTCATGCTGCTGCCAGGTTCCAGAGTCTCTCATGGGTCCCTGTACGGCCTCCCATTGCTGCTGTCTCCATCGCCACACTGTCTGCCATGTGCCACTTTCAGGTCTCCTCACATGCTGTGTGTTCCATTTTTTGTCATAGGGTGCTGGCAGATTACGGGCCTCCCATAGCTGCTTGCCGGCCCCTAATCTGCCTATGGGCCCCTATTACCGCCTCCTCATGCTGCCCTGCCAGGTCCACAGTGTCTCCATGCCATGTGCCACTTTCTCAGTCTCCTCACACTGCTGGTGTGTTCCATTTTTTGTCATAGGGTGCTGGCAGATTACGGGCCTCCTATAGCTGCTGCCAGTCCCCTAATCTGCCATGGGCCCCTATACGCTCGCCTCCTATGCTGCTGCCAGGTCCAGAGTCTCTCATGGGTCCCTGTACGGCCTCCCACATTGCTGCTGTCTCCATCGCCACACTCTGCCATGTGCCACTTTCAGGGTCTCCTCACACTGCTGGTGGTGTTCCATTTTTTGTCATAGGGTGCTGGCAGATTTAACGGGCCTCCTATATAGCTGCTGCCAGGCCCCCTATGGTCTGCCATGGGCCCCTGCTAACCGCCTTCCTCATGTGCTGCCAGGTCCACAGTGTCTCATGCCATGTGGCCACTTTTCCAGGTCTCCTCACACTGCTGGTTGTGTTCCATTTTTAGTAATAGGGTGCGGGCCAGCTTACGGGCCTCCTATATACTGCTGCCAGGGTGCCCCAATCCTGCCATGGGCCCCTATACCCTGCCTACTAATGCTGCTGCCAGGTCCAGAGTCCTCTATTCGGCATGGGTTCCCTGTACGGCCTCCCATTGCTGCCGTCTCCATCCACACTCTGCCATGTGCCACTTTCAGGTCTCCTCACACTGCTGGTCTGTGTTCCCATTTTTTGTCATTAGGGTGCTGGCAGATTACGGGCCTCCCATAGCTGCTGCCAGGCCCCTAATCTGCCATGGGCCCTGTACCGCCTCAAGAGTCTCATGCTGTTGCCAGGTCCCACATTGGTCTCATGCCATGTGCCACTTTCAGGTCTCCTCACACTGCTGGTGTGTTCCATTTTTTGTCATAGGGTGCTGGCAGATTACGGGCCTCCTATAGCTGCTGCCAGGCCCTAATCTGCCATGGGCCCCTATACCGCCTCCTCATGCTGCTGCCAGGTCAGAGTCTCTCATGGGTCCCTGTACGGCCATCCCATTGCATGCGGGGTTGGGGGGGGCTAGCTCTCCATCGCCACACTCTGCCAATGTGCCACTTTCAGGTCTCCTCACACCTGCTGTTTGTGTTCCATTTTTGTCA